AATGCGCAACATTTAATTTCAAAATGATCATAAAGAAGAACTAAAGAAGTACCAAATGAGCACACATAACTCACAAAATGAGTATAAAAAAAATCAAAAGCTCAATTGGTTTACTCATTCATTTTGGGTTTAAACTCATTTGAGTTTAACATAAAACTCATTTTTAATATGTTCAATATTCATTTGTGTATGTTCATGTTTTTAAAGCTTATACTCATTTGAGTTTAATAGAAAACTCATTTTTATAATACTCCCACCGTTCCTAAAAATTCTTCTCGGTTTGACTTGGCACGCTTATTAAGAAAGTGGAATAAAGTGAAAATGTATGGTTGTACTTGTGTAAGAAAAAGGTAAAATGAATGTGAGCCACACAAATTGTCCAAAATGGGAAAGTGAGAAATATTTTTGGGAACAGCCCAAAAAGGAAAGTGAGAAGTATTTTTGGGAACGGAGGGAGTATTATGACAAAAACGTAATAGATTTTGTATAAAAAAACTGTGGCAGCACATATAGCAGGCCAGTAATTAGTAGAGACAAGAAAATAGGCCGTGAAGAATAAGAATCACTCGCAGGGGTAGAGCCGTCTTTGCGTCCGCCAAGCATCCACTACTAGAAAAAGCACGTTTTGCAACGGAACCATGCAACAGACTTGTACCTGTTGCAATAATGCAACTATATTTGCAACGAAATATGATGTAGTTGCAGTATAGCAATGGATATTGCAACGAAAAATAAATTCCTTGCAAATGTGGCCGAGAAAGGGAGGGAAAATATGTTATAACAGATTTTGCAATGGGAAGAAATTACTCTTGCAATAATTGCAAGAGAAATTGCAATGCCCTATCAGTTTGTTGCATAGTTATAGATTTGCAATAGATTTGCAACGGATAAATCCACCATTGCAAATACTCACTTGAAACGAGTTTGTACCGCAACGACAATTTGCAACGGAGTCAATTCCATTGCAATTTTTTTTGAAAAAATATTATTTTTTTTGTTAAAGAATATATGGTCTCTTTGTATTTTATACGAGAAAAATTAGCTACTTTCATTTAAAAATTAAGAGTCCGTTTGGTGAGTATGTTTTTCGGCTTATCAAGTTTATCGGTTAACCTTTTTCACCAAGCACATAAATTTTAATTTCTCGCGCTGAATTATGTAATAATAAGAAAAATTAAGGTTGAAAGTACTTTTCTTGCTGTATTGACTGAAGTTACGGTAGATGATCATTTTATTGAATAAAATCATTTAATTAATAATATATATTCAAATTTAATTTCTATATAAATACGTAAAATCAGTCAATCCAATCACTTTAGTTAGAACTTTACAAGTTTCAACACCGATTCGGTCGATTTAGATATTACGAAACATGCTCTAAATTAAATACATAAAAAAAGATAAATAACCTAATTGAACTTTTATTGTTTAAAAAATAGGAAAAATTGATTATAATAATCTCAACTATTGGCGGTCCGCTCATAATAATCCTAACTATCAATTATTTCAGAATAATCCCAACTTTAGGGACCTTGCGCCAATAATGGTCCGACGTGATCGACTATAAACAAGTTCCTATAGTTTCTAAAGAGATATAGCAGGTAATCCCTATAAATATTCCTAACTTTCAATTTTACGCTTAATTTCTATTAAAAATTCACCTGTTATAGTATTTAATATGCGGTCATAGACCATTCTTGGCGGATGGTCCATATAGATGGGATTATACAAAAATAATCAATAGTTGGGATTATTGTTAGCGGACCGGCAATAGTTGGGATTATTATTTTCAATTTTTCCTAAAACATATCAATTAAATACATAAAAAAAGATTAATACTCCGTACTACGTAATTGCACTTTTATTGTTTAAAAAATTCAATAGCGACGTAGCGGGAAGTGAAATATACTACCGCCAGGTCTCTAACTTTCCAATTTTTTTCCATCTTGAGCCCTAGTTAGTGTAGCCCGTTTCTACTTTGGATTCCAACCAAAGCCTTTTTACCGCATCTCCTTCTCCGTCTCTGCAATTTCCAGTCAAGCGGCAGTTTTGAATTTCACCGCAAACCAGAATTATCGTCTCCGCAGCGCTCTGTTTCACGCTATCAAGTAAGCTTTTCTTCTGTGTTTGAGTTAAACTGTTATAGATATATGCTTGAAGATTTTCGCACCCCAGCCTGAGTCGATGCAATTGAAAAAAATTGGAATGGTCTAGATTAGGAATAAAGTACGATCTATTGTTTAGATCATTATAATTAGGAATGGTTTCTCCTTTATTGCTTCTCTCCTTCCATATTCAATCTTGGGTTCTGGGTAGAGGTTGCGGCTGCAAATGGGGTCTTGCGGTTAGCAGAAATTGTTGACCTGCGGCAACGGTGATTTCAATTAGTCAGCCATATTTTTTACTTCTAACTATTCTGCCAGTTTGCCCACCTCATTTGTCATATGCTTCTGCTCCAGACTTCTAAAGGACTCTTTCTCCCCTTCCCATCTTTTGTGAAGCCTCAAGTTTCAACTCACAACCTACCATCGATCAGCCCTTTTGTTGTGATTGGAGCCGATTGCATTAGGTATAGAAATTTTAGTGAGCTGCATCAAACATATTTTGATTATACCAAAATGATCAATTTCAACCGGTTATGAGGTGAATCAGGTGACTTGTGAAGTTGTCATTTGCCACCTTGGAGTCTTTTTTTCCATATCAACCGGGTGATGCTAAGCGTGTAGTTCAACCGGGTAATGATCTGATCTTATTTCAGAGTTGAAACATGTGTAGTTGTCTTGGACTTTACGTGGGGCTTGTGTCTGAGAGAGGTAAATAAAATTCAAATTAAGAGTTTGGCTGGAGAAAACTAAAGAAAAAGGTCATGTAATTGTTTTGAATGCTATGAAAGATTATTATATAACTTTGTGGATATTATAAAGAATCATAATACTAGTCATGTTGTGTTCTGCCATCTCTTTATGAGTGCTCATGCAACGTGTTTTAATGGTTCAATTATTTGCTTCGCACTCTGTTAGTTTTTTTGTCATCTCTTGAACTTACAAAACTTTTATATTCTTTTTTTTTTGGTACTATATTTGCTAGGTGGCTCAATACTTTGTGACTTTAAATGGCAGCATATAAACACAAAATGTAGTCATTTTTTGCAGGAAAATGTCTAAGTTGCCACCATCTGGTCGAGGACCAACCAAACGTAAGCAACCAGCAACTCTAGTGCCCAGATTTGTGAGTCGTGTGCCATCACCATCCGCTCCATCATTTGGTTCCTCGTTAGCTACTCCACCACTATCCACTCCATCACTTGGTTCATCGCCAACTACTCCCCAAGTTGACTCATCATCAAGCACTCCACCACGTGATTTATCACAATTGACTCCATCACCCAATACCTCTGCTCATGCTGGTACTGATACAATTGTCTCAAATAATAATACAGAGCAACCATTACATGTTATTGGATCTATAGGATCAAATGGTCATTTGTGCATTGAAGTTAAAAAAAAGCAGTAAGTGTTAAGTTTATAAAAACCTAATATATAAATAAATTATATTGATTAATATTCATTTCTTTATTTGATAGTAAATGTTTCAAATTATTTTTTTCATTATACAGATTACTTCCTTCAGAAGAATGTTCCCGAAAGATTACTTCTCTTTTCAAGAAAAGGGTTGATCCTCATGGTTACTCTTGGGCTAACTTAAGTGAAGATATAATAAAGTTTTATTGGGATGAGTTTAAGGTAATTTTTCAAACATTTATCTTATATTCTATATTTTTAACTATGAATAATCAAGAACAAATAATTGGCACTGAACAATTATTATATTTTAGTTGACTTACATTAAATTTACAATGAACTGTAGAAGCATTGCTATTGGAATCCTATAATAGAACCTTCAATAAAGGCAGCGTGGACTTCAAAGCTAAACAAAGATATTCGAATTATCTCAGTAATATGAGAACAGGAAGGTGTGAGAGAAATTCATCAATCACTCAAGAAGTTTGGGACAGTTGGATGAGTATGTGGAGTAGTAAAGAATATCAGAAGAAATCTAACCAAAGCAAAAAAATAGGCGTCAAGGTGAATTAGAGAAGCCTGTCCCATCTACTCATACTAGTGGGGCCATATCTCATGCCAAAGTTGCTACTGAAATTGTAAGTTTATTTAAAATATATGTTACACTAGTTATTAATTATCTCTATTGAAACATATATGCCTTGATTATGCATTTTAATAGAATATGTGATATGAATATATTTTATTTATTCAACATGTCCATTACTGTGATTCATATGATATTTAGTGTTTGATTATTCTAACATTATACGTTAATAATTATTATTATGTAGGAAAAGAACTCCCAAACTACAGTGACAAGTTATCAAGTTTTTGTGTATACACATACAAAGAATCACGATGGAGAGACTTTTATAAATGATCAGGCTAAAGAAGTGAATGTAAGTATTTTGAATTTTTTTTTTTTAAATAATTTGCTTTTATATTAATTCAATAAAATATTATAGGAGGAATTTGTTTCACGTCGTGAGGAGCTAATTGATATTGGTGAGGAAGTGGATGATGATGAGCTGTTCTATGATGTTGTTGGTGGACCTAGCTTACTCAAAGAATATATTGTATGGAGTTGGCTCATATGGTACACAAAATATTCACAGTAAAGCTTCAGAGTACTCTTCTGAAATGGACACTTCATCATCACAATCTATTAGTGCTGAAATTAATCATTTGAAAGTTGAGGTGGAACGTTTGCAAAAAATTGTGGAACAACAGAAGGAATTTCAACAACAAGCAGAACAAAAGCAACATGAAAAAGATGATGTCATCCGTGCTTTACAAGAAAAGATTGAAACTTTAGTTCGTAATAGATAGATGAAGTTCTTTTTAAGATGATGGTCGATTTTAATTAGTCATTTGATTAGTAGTATTCTTAAAGACTCATTATTTGAGACATTACTATTGTTACCAGGAGGTCAAACAGTCTATTCTTTATAGTTTAGGAATTTTTGTATTATTTGAGACAATACTAATGATATTCATCGTTGTTATGACCTAGTTGTACTGTTGTATGGTTTAAGAATATTAATTTATATAGGCTGCGAAGAATGTAGGTTGTGATTGCTTTTACAAAATATGTGCAATAGAAACTTGCAATGAGCATTTATTGCAATTCGGCCATTAATAATGCAACAAAAGTTCATTTCATTGCACATTTGCAACGGAAATTTCAATGCAAAATAACCTTAACTACAGTTAAACCCATTGCAACTTTGCAACGTAACTTGCAATAAGGTATACGATTTGTTGCGAACAATGCAATTGAAATTGCAACTAAACTTTTCATTGCATTATTATGCAATGGAAAAAGTCATTGCAATATTAGCTATGGAAAATGCAACAAAATAAGATTGTTGCAAACAAATGCAATGGAAATACATGTGATGCTTTTATCGTTTCATATAATTGCAACGGATTGAATCAGCGTTGTAAATAATTGCAACGACGTGTATAGCAACGGATTTTTGTCTATTGCATTTGTATCCCATCGGAGGAGCTCGTTCCCATAAGTGTGCGGTTGCTCCCCAATTGTTTGTTACCACCATACGACAATCCTCCTCTTTCACCCAATTGTTTTCAAATTTGAACCTTTTTCTTCTACTAGAATTATTAGTAGCTATAACCTTCATCCAAAGAGCATAATGATCACTCGTCGGGGCTTCAACTAAAGCTGCCTGAGCCTCCATGAATGTGTTCCACCAATCATCATTCATGATTCTGTCTAATTTTTCTTCCACCCAAAACTGGTACATTTTCCTCTTTCCCACGTCCATTGGTACCCCGAAAAACGAAAGTCTCTCAAACCACTACTATGGACCGCCTCTCGAAAACTATGTAGCCTCCATGAAGGGTGGGGGATACGCCATTTCTTCTCTGTTTCGTAAAGGATGTCATTGAAAACACCAAACATCATCCATTGACCACTGTTATGCGCTGCCAGGTCCCTGAGGAAAATCCAAGCTTCTCGTCTTCGTCGAGTCTCCGAGAATCCATAGAATCCGGTTAGCCGTCATGGCTGATCATTTGGTTTCATTCGAACAAAACAGTCAATGAAATTCGCTTCACCCTTAATAAACTCCACTTCAACCTCGTCTCACCAGCGCGCCCAAAAACAAGCCTCCGCTCATGCCATCACCGTCAACACCATGGCCGGTATGGAAGCCGAGAGCCTAGATAATTTGTTTCGCCCTTTAACAACGCAACTTGGTTTCCATCAGGAAGACAAATAGATGGTCTACGCGTCTGCGTCATGTTTGCAAAAACATTGTATGGTGGCTGGATTTTCGAAGCTCCTGCAATTCCAACTAAGGATGCTCATTCGAAGGTTTGTGCGATCACGCCGAAACTGGAGGAAGCAAACCACCGAGCCCGATGACGAGTGTCACCGCCGGTACAAAGAGCTAGGGAAGAACACTAGAGACGACGGTCGTTTTTTGTTATCGGTTTTAAAAATGTGTGCGTTTGTGAGTGTGCAATAACAAATATTTCAAAAGGGATAACAAATTAAAACATTTGCGTATGAATTTAAGTTAGTGATAAACGGAGTCAACTTAAGTCATTATTTGGATTTTTTCTAATGTTCATCTTTTTATACTACTTTTCCCTTGATTTTGCTCATCTCCCCCTTTTTAATACTTAAAGTCTGTTTGTTCCTTTTTAATTTTGTCATCTTTCTTTTTCTTTTATTTTAATATTTCCTTTACATACATTTTAATCAATTAATTTGTAATTCTTGTTTTCCTCTCTTTTCTACAAAAACAAAAACTACATATTATCTCCTTCTCAACTTAATGATCCCATTGAAAAATGACACAGTAGGTAAGGTGCATCCTTGGGATAGAAAAGTTACATTTGAGCTTTTCACCTCAAAAATTGCTCCAAAGTTAGTATATATGGTTGCCAAAGAGCAATGGGGCGCCCTTGAAGGATTAGATATGTTATTAACAAAGAGAGAGAGGGGCATCCGCTTGCACGCCGCATGAAGGAATAAGCAGTCGGTCTATGCAAAGTTTAATTCCCGGTTTTCTTCATGCGTAATAACCCTTTTATTTGTATTCTAATTTTTACAAAAAATATGTCAAAAATGATAACTTTTTATGATGTTTCATATAACATCAATATTGCATATAGAATGTAAAATATGAAGTATCAACTGCTAAAAGCATTTAGATACATTTCTCTTAAAATGCATCCAGGTTCTAAAATTAAGATCTCATAATTAAAATATATTCTCTACATCTTTCAATTATTTTTTTTTAAAACGGGTCTGAAATAAAAACAACACAAATAAACTTTTAATTTGAAAAACAAACTTTCTTTTACCTCAAAATGTTTGACTTTATAAATCATAATTATTCACAAAACAATAAGATTTTTTTTGTATAATAATAAAAGCGAGATTTTATATAAAAACATTTGCTGGATAAATACATTGACAATATTGGATTGAGTAAAAACATGATTGATTGATGAGTGGGTACAAATAAACTGATATAAAATGTACTCCTTCCGTCCCGCAAACATGTTCTGGATTTGACTTCACGGTTTTTTAGGTAAAACAGGAAATAAAATTAGCTTTTAAAAAATGCTTTTGAGTAATTAAAAAGTGTAGTAACCAAATGAGCATAATAAAGGAGATAATGAATAGTGAAATGAGACTAATACACATCAATTGAATGAAGTGATGTGAGAATAAAAGATAAATGAAAAATAATAACTTTCTAAACATAGAAAAAATTTGAATGTGGAACTTAATTTTGGAACAAACAGAAAAAGAAAGGTGAAACTTTTTTTCATGACGGATGGAATTGACCAAACTTAATTACAACTAGGCTAATGTCTAATTTGTAAAGAATGGGAGTATAGAAGTGCTAAATAAAAACAAGAGATGAAATCATGAGTGGTAACGTGGATAGAAATAGTTACCACCAGCTAATCTAGTGCAATCAAAGGCGGAAAAGAGGGATAAAACTTGGAAATTAGGAAGGACAGACAACATGAAGCTATAAGTGGATCTGATAGGTCCCATGTTTGGTAACCGAAAGGATCCGAAAGCGACCAGACTCCGCCCTACGCTCACACGTTTTCGGAACACTCCCCACACAGACAGCCGCCTTCCCCAACACACCTCACCCTCCATTTCTTTATTACACACTAAGAACTTCTTCCATGCTAAAATGTGCATTTACACATCTGATATAAGATATAACCACATAAATATTACGGAGTAATAAATAAGTTCTTTTCTTCTTATTTGAATGATTTTATACAGTTTTCGTAAGTTTTTATCCACAATGTCAAGGAGACCGTTTAGATATTGACATTGCAGTTGACATTGCAGGGAAAAACTTACCATCCCCATTCTGGTTCCGTCAACAAATTAAATTACACACTAATTTATAGGTATTCAGTCTGTCAATTCGATTTTTACAGCAATCCTGCATCGTCATTATATTCAGCTATCAAAGTTTTTCTTTAAATAAAGTCTTCCTTTTGTTATTATAAATTAATTTTTTGTTAATCATTTTTTGCGAATAATTATGATATTAAAAGGAGAACATTTCGATGTAAAAATAAATAAATTTGGAGATTAACTTTGTTATTGTTAATTTGTACCAACTTTTGAAAAACAAAACTAAAAGATAGTAAAAAAATTATTTTTATCACGAAACCTTAATTTAGCACTTGGATCTACTTAAAATAATAAACATAAAAATCTCCAACTGATAAATTTCATACTTTTATTTTGAGAAAAGGGTCAAATAAGGCATTCTACTACTCCCTCCGTCCCGAAAAGGTTGGCCAAATTTCCTTTTTTGGATGTCCCAAAAAGATTTGTCATTTCCATTTAAAGTAAGGAATATGTGGCTAAAATTAATTCTCTCTCCTCTTCACAATTTTTAACCACACAGTTTTTACTTTATTAATCCACGTGAAAGTCAACTTTGGCCAACCTTTTCGGGACGGAGGGAGTATTATAAAGTAGTCACATAAGGTCATGTACTCAATAAAGTGTCATATAAGTATCTCTTCTTGTAAAAATCAATCAAATGAGTCCTAATTACTTATTTATTTATTTATTTTATTAAATATTACGAATTGAAACACGGAGTATTGTTTTTTTTGGGGGGTGGGGGGAGAACTAACTAATGAGGTCATGTATTGAGGAAAATGGTTGAGTTTTAGTCATACTTAGTTTTAATTTTTTTTCTTAATATAATTAATAATAATAACAATCACCCTAATTTTCTTATTTAATTTTATCTGCTCATATATATGTATATAATTGATTATTTGATTCTCTCTTATACACTGTGTATTATTTAGGTCGTATATTTGATTATATATTATTTATTTATAATTTTTATATGTGTATGTGTACATATATGTATAATAAAAAACTAGATTAACTACTTAAATTTTAAGAATGATTGTATTGTTCCAAGGTGTTTAAAATTATGAGATTTTAATAAATTAATTAGCTTCTGTCAAAGTTGACGGAAAATTTAACGGAAAGACTCGGTTAATATAGATGAAATTGATTAAAGACTAAAATGGTAGATTTAATAGTTCAATGACCAAAACGTTATGATGATGATAGTTCGATGACCATTTATGCATTTTACTCTTGTTAAAATTGTAGGTTTGTAGGTGAGCAAGGTTAACTTTAACATCCCGCTCATGAGAATTTAATTATAGAGATTTACTAGATCTCATTGCCTCATTGGCTCAATATTAGGATGTTTTCAGTTGGACTTTTTCAGTTCTAGAACAAATCAGACCAGGTCAAACCAGACCAGACTAGACTTCCCTAGTTATAAAATATACAGAGACCAGACGTTTACCAGAATAGACAAGATCACTTCAGATCAGACTAGACCAGTTCATCCTTATACTCCGTATTAAGGAAGTGCTTGCAAACACTTAGAAAAGTGTTTTTCGGCTTTTGATTTTAAACAATCTGAATTGCGTGTTTTCAAGTAATTGTTTCTGTTTAAATGAAGCACTTAAAAAATAAAATCAGATGGATAAATGTTTTAAACTGTTTTTCAACTTTTTTTTTATGGTACAAAGAGTGTTTTTTTTTGTCAAATATCACCAACTTTTTTACCTTTTTAAAAGCATTTTTCTCAAACTCTTACGATTAGCATTTTTCTTAAAGTTGAAAGAATCACACTCCCTAAAGATTCAAAAAAATCTTTTGTGCACGATTTTACACACTTCTATGAAGGATTTTTTGTTTGTGGTGTGTGAAAACGTGTACATCAGTAAAGTGTGTACAACAAGAATTTTTTCTAAAGCTTTGATAAGACGAGTGGTTCAGGACTCGAATGTTTCCTCCATGTATTCCTTCATATTTTTATACGGAGTATATGATAACGACAAGAGAGTTTAGTAATAATGTCTGTCTCACTAATAATGAGACAAAAGAGGGTGAGACACATACCGATAAATATGGGATTTATGTGTTTGATATTGAATTGATAAATTAAGGAAAAAGTAAGAAAGATTTAGAATTATACAAATTTTACTAAATTTGGTATAAGACAATCTTAATGGAACGAACCGAAAAGAAAAATTGGAACAATTCTAATAGGATAGAGGGAGTATAAAACATGTGAATATTTCTATAAGAGCACGGTGATAAGATGAACACATCAGATCAGAGTATTCATCTCCTATTAATAAAATTCATTATCATGATAGCAATACATCTCGTGCATCAACTTAATTAATGTAGGGAGTATTCATTGGTTCGGTTTCATCGATTTCAGGTTTATCAGTTGATTTTTGGTCGGTTTTGATTGTAGTCGGGCGTTTCGGTTTTTGGGGTTTTTAGACACCTAAATCAATGTACTCTTTATGAAGAATGTAAGAATGTTAACATGCTCGATAGATATACTCCGTATATTTTAACCATAAGACACACCCATTCGATGATTATAATCAAACTAACTATTACAACTTTAAATTCGACCAATTCCGATATTTTCTCAATTTAAAAAACCACAAAAAAAGCTCATAACATTGTAGGTACAATCCTGTCTACAAGAACCCTATAAAAACAGGACTATTTGTATAAATGATACGGAGTAAATGCGCCGAAGGGGAATGGGACAAAATGGAATTGACTCCCGGCAGAGAAGACGCCAGGGAGAAGCTAAACAAAAACGCCACATAACCACAAGCTCATTATTAAAAGGGTGCCAGAAAATCTATATGGACCCGGGAAAAATCAATAAAATTTATATGGATCTTCTTAAGATCACAAAAATGTGGGGATTTGCCTTCATATACGTCCATTATACTCTTTGATCCGCCCGCTAAAATAGTGCCAGTTGAGGTTCTTTTTACCCTTTTCTTGTATTTTACTTTTTTTTTATTTTTGACTTTTCGACCGATCTAATAATTAAAGATTTGAAAGTTTAAAAAAGAAACTGAGTAAAATATGCAAAGGATGTCTAGGCTGTAAATAGTGTCAGG